ATATTAGGAATTTGAAATTCATCAGAGTTGAATGACTGTGTAAGATCACTCAGCTAATTGGTAGAGACACCAGAATTCTCACTCTGGTATTCCTGTCTTCAGTATCCGTTCTGTAAACTGAAACTCTATACTGCCTTGGACGAGGTAGTATTTTTTGACTTACTAATAGATTTAAGTCATTTTGCCCAGTGCTTTATAAAGCACAATGCTTCAAGAATTCTCACAATAGCTCTAAAATTTGGGTATTATTTTTCCTCTTTTACAAATAAGGGCAGATGATTTCCTAAAGCAACATAGTTCTTATCATCAGAGTAACCAATGAGTCAGAGATTAGTGTTATTCCCAAATCCTCACTATCTGCTCAATATCTGCATTTCCTATCATTAAAGGACCAAAGATTCTCTAGTTTATGATTAAATTTGTACACCAGTTTTCTCAGTCAATTAGGCTCACATATGTTAGGTCAAGTGAAAAAATAATCTGTATGGCCAACAATGCATTAATGGAGGTAGCTATATATATTCTTAATTTGACAAAAACCCATCTGCTAAATTACTCAGTTAAAGAATCAACTAACAGGTCATTTATATTAATGGAAAAACAACATGCAAATAAAACATTTTAAGCATTATTTTATTCATGTTAAGTTACTATGAGAAGCAATAAAAATTGTTTTATGTCTAAGAGATTGAAACATGCCATACCTTACTAAGCTGTTAGCGCTGTCAGGATCTTGTGCTAAAACTGTGCCCACAATGGTCCCGATCTTGGCATTTTCATAGACTTCCATGACATAGGAAGGCATGGAAAATAGCGGTGGTTCATCTACATCCCCAACAATGATCTTCAGCATGGTAGCATCTTTAAAAGGACCCAAGTGAGAAAAGCGAAAATCAAGATGTGTATTTGCTCCTTCTATGTTGAGGGTATATGACTTCTTTTTTTCATAGTTCAGTGGCTGTGGGGAAAAAATAAGATTTCCATATTACAACTTCTGATACTTTTCAGACAAGCACTATTTTTTTTCTGTTTTTGAAAAAATAAGTGGAATAGAGTTAAGTCATTCTAGCTTTGTTAAAAACAAACTATGAAGTTTGTCTTAGTAATAACTATAAAGCAGAAATCATGGGAACTGAAGCTTGAGTCAATACTGATACAGCCCAAAATATGGGGATAAATAAGTTTCAAAAGGATATTCTCCACATGTAAACAAATATTGCTTTTTAACTTCAATCTCTTCTGTAACCTATATTATTAATCTTAAAACTACCTGCTACTAATTTCCTAAATTTTTAAAAATAAAATAAAGTACAAGTTTTTTATAATTGAATAATTTATCTCATATGATTGATTTTTTAAATATGTCATCATCTGATTTCACCCTTGCTGGTTTTAAAATTTGTATCTTATTTTAAAATCTGACCAATTTTCAGTTTTTCAAGTCAACGATATTTTCTTGGAATTTTAGCAAAGTATTTTATACAGAATTTTGAAGTTCACTTTCCTTATTTGATTGTATTTATTAATTTGTCTCTTTTACTGATATTACCATTTTGTTTGTTTTGTTGTTTTT